TTTTTTTTTGTATCACTGATATTTCCAGTGATTATCAGGTCTGTCAGGTTATGTGGCCTAATTGGCAGGGCTGCTTATACCATGAGCTGGTTCTACTGCAAAATGCTTTCTGTTGTTCCAGGCCCCAGTCAGAGCTGGCAGCACTTCACGTCATACAGAATGAGTCATAACAGTATTCTCAGTTGTGGTAAATGTTGCTTCTGTGATCCAGAGGTTGCCTAAACATTGTGCTTCCTTATTCACGGTAGGAAGTGAAAGTGTTAAGAAACAATCATTTGTCCTAGACTTAGGAGGAAATGTCTTGGAAGGCCAGGGCGGGGGGGGGGGGGACATGAATTCCTAAAATTATGCTAATGTGATATTTCCTTGAACCGTAGAGATTACCTCTCTCCTCTAGAATGCTTGTGTCTTAACAAGGCCTTCCATGAATAGTTACTTTTTGACATGACATTTTTGGGATAGTGGTCAAATGTGGTGTTTTACAGGATGCCCAGCTAGTTTATGTCTCTTCAGAATATATCATGACAGAAGGCAAGACAGTTAATATAACTTATGGGTAAGAAAGTATATTCATGACCCCTTTAGGAGCATCCCTAGAAGCACTGTGTTCAGACCATCTCACTGTAGCCTCATCAGGGTGTAAAATCCTATATTCTATTAGAGTGTCCCTGAGTTGATAAATTTATGTTCCATATCCTTGATATGCATGCTCAGAATTCAGTACCATACATAACCTCTCAGCTCCTCAGCTCCTGCTGGTGAGTACTGACAAGATTCTGTAGTTTCTTTGAGAGATACACCCTTTCCTTTCTTATTAGCTCCAGTATATCTATAGCTAGGTTTTGTGGTTATCTAAATCTTCTCATGGTCTTAGGTACCATGATGGAAAGTGTGAGAAAATCCTAGACAAGCTAATGTCTTGCTGGGAAAAAGGCCTGTATTGTTTTCAAGAAATCAGGTAATGCTAGTCCTCAAGAGAAGACTAGGCCACTTCTGCAAACCAGATCAGTTAGAGGAATCTGCAGACTCCTACTATCAGCATGATCAACACTATCTCATGAGTCCTGGTCCCATTTTCCAAACAAGGCCCTAGCAAATATACATTTATCAAAAGAGCTTACCCTTCTTTGGAACTCTGCTGCTCTTATTAAATCCTGGTCTTGATTTCCATTTTCTCTGTCCTCTCACTGAAAGAATTGAGACAATCTTGTGGTGCTTCCAAAAAGGCCTCTGGCTGCTTTCATACTTGGCTTTCAGTTGTCAATTTTCTTTTCATCATCTTTTTTTCTAAAGCACCAGTCAAGCTTTTCAATTGTCACCCAGCTCCTGTCTTCTTATAATTAGCATTTGCACATATTTTTCAAATGCTTGATAAAGCTAAGATATTCCATTCCATTAGTATTTGATCCTGATTCACCACTGGTGAAAGTTTTAACTATTGCCAGAAACAATCTGTATTCCACAAATATTGGTGGTAAGGTAGTCATTATTATCCTGACAGTAGGTAATCCGATTCCAAAATCCTATCCACACTGGCTATTTTGGCTCTTTCCTGGCACCAAATGTGACAGGTGAGTTAAAAATCAGCATGCTGAAGACTTATTAGGAGGTGCTATTTTGGGTCACTATTTCTTCAAATACTCATTTTACCTCATTCTGACTTGCTTTTCCCTCTTAAATTCCAATTATTCATAGATAAGATTATTTGGTATTATCCTAAAAGTTACTAAAACTGTCTTTCTACTTTTTTCAATATCTTTCTGTTCTTCACCTTGGATAATTTCTGTTCATCTACTTAACAATTTCAATAATAATTTTTCTGACACCTAAAATCTGATGTTTAGATCATGCAGGAAGTTTTTTATTTTGTACATTGTACATTCTAGTTTTTAAAAGTTACCTTTGGCTATTTTGTCATTTCCATTTCTTTGTTGATATTTCCTATTGAATCTTAGGGTCATTCTTTCTTTTAAGCCTTGAATATACTCATAATAACTTCATCAATCTCCATTCTATTAATTCCAAAATCTGTATTTCTTGGGGCCTGTTTCTGAATACTAGAGGATTGTTATCAAAGCTGTGACTTGCTCAAAAACCTACGTTTTTAAAGTACCACTCTGATTTCCATGTGGTAAATGGGGTATAAGAGCCAATGTAAATGGTGTAAAAAAAGAAAATGGAGGTGCCCAAGTCATTGGCATCATTTATGATTAATTATAGTCAGATGGATGGTGGTGGCTTGGTCTTGGGAGGTAGAACTGGTGCAGACGAAAGGAAATGAATTCTGACCATAAGGTCTTGTTAACAGATTAGAGGTGAAAGAGGAAAAATAGGAGAAAAAGTGTAAACCCATGGCTATTGGACTCATTGACTAAAATGGAGTTGTCATCTGCTTAGGTGTTGACAGGGGAAGGGAGATATTTGGCAAGTGGGCAAAACCAAAAGTACTGTTTGATCATGATGAATGTGAGATATCTAATAGATATTAAAGCAGAGATCTTGAATAGGCACTTGTATGTTAGCCTGGAATTAGGGGTCAGGTTCTGGATGATATCAGTTTGGAAGTCAAAGGTACATTTGGAAGTCAAAGGTATATTTGGAAGTCAAAGGTATATTTAAAGCCATGGATCTTAAGAAAACAGATGTGAGAACTGAGTGTTGGAGTACTAAAATGTTTAGAGGTTTGAGAAATGAGGATAAAATAGGAAAACAGCATGAAAATAAAGAAAAATCAATTTGAGATAGTGAATCTAAGAGTGGAAGTGAGGAATACAGCTCAAAATAGGAGTGATCAGCTTTTCAAATATTGTTATTCACTAAGAAAAGTGAGAATCAAGACTTTGTTTAGCTAATCCACTGAGAAATTTGGGGTTTGTTTCTGTAGTATAGTAACACAATCATCAATACTGTAAAATTTACATCTCGAATTGCTTGGAATTTAAAATGGGAAAGTAAGTGCTTAACTTTTTATTACTAAAGCTCTTCAGAGTCCTATATGAGATCATTTTGTACATTTTACCCATAATAGTGATTTTGTCATTTAGGATAGTTATATCCTACTTGTCATTGGAATATCCATTTATAGTTCTTATTCACTGACTCCTTCCAATAACATTTATAAAAGTTATTCTAATTATTACTCTAATAATTAGATTCTTGAGAAGAGTAATTTGTCAGTGAAATGAGCACTCAAGTCCCTTTTCTAGCATAGTGACACACAGCTGGTCTTCAAAAGATATGAATGGGCCCATCAAATAGCTACTTTATGAATGCTATTTGATGTGCCATTATCAGAGAGACTTCACCATAAATTAGGCTGACAACAGCCAGTCTCAAGTAGCACAGTGGATATGAAAATTGTTTTCCTTACCGTAAGTCAGAAACCTATTCAAAAGTTCTGAGGGGAATGAAGTTTGTTGACTCTGAGTCACCTCAGAAAGTTGCACAAATGAAAGAGGTTCTAAGGCCCAGGCCAATATCTAATCCCAATTTGCTCTATTTTAGAAGACCTCAGTGGGATGGAAGGAACACTTTATTAATGAGTTTATGCAGAGTAGCTTCCTTTATGAAATCAGTCAGCCTAGAGCATGTACCTTCATTTTATAAGTACAAATTAGCAATCTGCATACAGAGGACCTTGTAATGGGTTGATATATGCAAAAAAAAAAAATCTTTTGGAGGTTTTTTTTTGGTTTCAACAAGTTATAAATGAAATATTTCCAAATTTAATGAGGATCCAGAAATTTCCAACAGTTTGGGTACAAGTGAGCAAGACAGGTCAAATGACAGTCTTTGCATTATTATGAAGCAGGGTGATTCTCGACTGGGTGCAAACCTCCCTCTGGAGGCTGTTTGGCCATGTCTGAAAACATGTTTTATTGATAGGACTATGAAGGAGTAGGGCCACATGAAGGTAGACGCCAAGGATGATGCTAGATATCTTAAATATTGATATTCCCCCAGGGGGGAAAATGTTTCGATTCCAAATGTCAACTGTGCCAGTTGAGAAACATTGCTTTGAGTTACTTTATAAGAGAACATCTCCAATACCTCAAATTTAATGTTTTGTTTACATTCTGAGCCTATCACCCCAGGATCTGAAGTTAAGATCACGTTGTTCCAAGTGTATGCTTTTCTAATTGCAGTTAATTATGGTGGCAGTGTATTATTTGAAGGTGATCAATTTTACCTCCTTAAAAACAGAAATCCGGTTTGAATTTTTCAAGAATTATCAAGTTTTACTGTTAAGCCTTTTTAATATTTTGGAGTTCCCTGTCCAAGTCCTCCCAGAAATTAGGTGGAGATAAAGCGACTAAGATCTCAAATCCATTATTGGAGATTATGTATTACATGGGACTGATTTTTTTTTTTTTTTAGTTGATCCTAATCCTGCAAAGCATCAACAAATTGTACTAGTCTTCTTGGTGTACCTACTAATCTGTGCTATTGGCTTTCAGACACCACGACCATCCTCCAGAAGGACTGCAGGACTCTGCACAGGCCAACAGGTAACTCGTTCCAGCAGATGCTTCCTGACAGATCAAAGTCCCCAAGCACAATTCTAAACTCTTGGAGGACACCGCCATCGGAAGGCTGGAGGAGCTGGGGAGCAAGGAGGAGCACAAACCCCTGTGCTAACTGGAACAACCGTGCAAGAACAATTAGGGCAAGAGAGGCAAGTCACTGATCTGCTAGGTTACTGGGCTCTCTGTTGACGGTCCGAAGAGGCGGGCTGGCAGCGCACCCGGGGCTGCAGCAGCGCTGCTCCGCGGAAGAAAAGAAGGGGCGGCTGAGGGCGGCGGGCGCAGGCGCGCACACCCGGGTCCCGCCACCCACCCCTCCGCAGCGGTCCGCCCTCTACCGGGGCGGGGAGAGCGCTCGAGGCGGGGCGGCCAAAGCCCGCCCCTCCTCCTGGCCGAGAGGGCGAGCGGTTGAGCGGGCTGGCGGGCTGCGCGGGGAGGCGGGGCGCGGCGGCGGTCTGTGTCTGCGCCTCGGCGGCCTCGGCGCTCGCAGACGCTCGGGGAACATGGCGGCGGCGGAGCCCGCTGTTCCGGCGCTCCCTGGCAGCGGCGGTGTGGGCACGGGGGCGCCGTCGGGCACGGTCCCGGTGCTCTTCTGCTTCTCCGTCTTTGCGCGGCCCTCGTCTGTGCCGCACGGCGCGGGCTATGAGCTGCTCATCCAGAAGTTTCTCAGCTTGTACGGCGACCAGATCGACATGCACCGCAAATTCGTGGTGCAGCTCTTCGCGGAGGAGTGGGGCCAATACGTGGACCTGCCCAAGGGCTTCACGGTGAGCGAGCGCTGCAAGGTGCGCCTCGTACCGCTGCAGATCCAGGTGAGTCCCGCGGGAGGGCCGCGCGCCTCGCTGCCCCTCCCGATCGCTGGCAGTCCCGGTGCAGTCCTCGTCCCCGCCCCTGCCGCGCTCCTCAGGTGCCCGGAGCTGCCAGGGCTCCGGGCCCTGCGCACTTGGTCGAGTTGGAAGGGCCGTGCGGTTATCGCAAGCCCCGGGGCCGGCTCGGAGAAAGCGCCTGTTCGAAGGTGACAGTCACCAGCGGGGGCGTGGGCCTCCCAGCTGGTCGCGGCGTCCGCAAACGCCCCCACGTGTATGGACCTCTGCCGCCCGCATACGCTTTTGTGTGCCAGCCTCCTGCGTAACCAAAGAGCTGTGCAGTAGTAGCAGTGTGTTTATTTTAATGGGTGATGCAGAACAACAGAGAAGAGATTGTCGGGGGGGGGTATTGGCATTAGGCTTTGTTCCCGGAGTTGTGTTAACCAGTTGCGGAAACACAAACTTTAGTAGTCAAGCCGTTTCTTCTTGCTCTTCCCCAGCTTTCGCGTCTTTGGGCTTAAGCATCTCCTCTAAAGTGAAACAACCATTTGCTTAGCCTCCTAATAACTGCCAACTGATTCTGTCGAATACTTCTGAGTTGCCTACATTGGAAAAGCCCTTTGATCCAGAACTGTAATACCCTCTTTAATACTCAATTTAGGCAAGATCATGAATTCCTGGTCCTGCAGACTGAGAAAAGTTATACCTGAGGATTATTCCAGAGTTTATTATTTTTATGTTTTTAAAAACCGTGCTCTCATACCACACAGGCCCATCTCCTGTCCCCCTCCCCTTTTATATCAAAGGATACACTGGAGAATTTATATTTTTGGAAGGAAAGAATATAATTTATAATTTAGGTACTACACCATCCATATTTTTTTCTTTAGCTGAAAAAAACTGATAAGTCATTTCTTTGGAAGACCACACCTGAAAGTGGGCTAAGAGAGTAGAAAGAATTTTGATATTCAAGTGGCATTTTCTGAGGATCATTCCCTATTTTTTTTTCCAGCTGTAGTTGGAGGATGAATTGGTGATGTTTCCCATCACCCCAACACTCATTCCAGCAGAGTCCAAACTACACACTTTAATCTGTGTGAAGTTCTAATATTCAGTAGTCTATAGGATTTTACTGTGCACCCCTGGAGAGCCTACTAGGGGTAATCTGATTCCTGTGGATTTGCCCTGCTGCCTAGATGGAGAATTGCTTAAGATTCCTCATTCTTATGTCTTTGACAGTTTTTCTGCCCTATAGCTCCCTGCAGCCCTCCTTGTCAGTTTATTTAGATTACTGCTGCCAGAATACCTAAGATGTTGGATGCACCTTTGATAAATCCACTTACAAGGCAAGACTCCAAAAATTGAGGAGGTCTGGCGCTACACTGAGGGTGAAGGCTTCTTTGTGAAGCATTTCCTGTTTTCCTTGGGAGGGCAGGTGGTGGGTTCTTAGCTAAGATAATGCTGTCCTGAGCTAGCCTCTGAAGTCTGTAAGCTTTATTTCCCTCCACAAGGTATGATTTTTATATTTTGAAAAATTTAAGTCCTCGATCTGAAACTCTTTGTAATTAATGTTTTGGAAATTATAACATCAGTGTATGTACGGGAATATCCTACAAAAGACAATATATAATTCATGTCACTTGAGGGCTGTTCAAAAACGTTTTATGTAATTTTTAATTAATTTTTTGTAGTGATCTTTGAAATAACAATAATTCAAACAAAATAGCATTACTCTGTTCTATCTGTTAAAAAGGTTATTTTTTCTCACTAAACAGTCCAAAATTCTTAAAACATCAGTCATATATGTTTATACTTTTAATGTATTTAAAAATATTTTTCTCTTATGTTGTCTCATTTTAGTAGTCATAATACTTTGATTTTTTTTAGCCAGGTTCCTCTCCCAGCATACAAGTAGATAATAGCAAGGGATATTATGCATAGATACAGGCATCATATGCCATATATACTTTTTGATACTTTTTGTATTTATATGAGGTGATCTTTATCTACACAAACGTAGTGTGTGTGAATATACTCTTGATATTTCTATACTATATTTTGTGGAACCCATCTGTATCATCATAATGACATGGACATCTTATGGCTAGAAGAGACCCTAGAGTTCATTCCACAAATGTTTTAGGGTCCAACTTTAAGTAAGTGATCATTGCCAAGAGAATGCAAACCTGGATTCAAGGTTTAGATACAATCTAAATTTTTCCTTTCACAGAAGAGCAGAACATATAAAGGTAAGGAATTTAGGAAATTGCTCAAGATCACATATCGTAGCATTTGCAAACCACACATAGGTAGGTCCTGAGTTGACATCTGCCATAGCATTCTATTTTCATGCTTAAATGAGGATATTGAGCAGTCTGGATAATAAGCCTCCAACTTGAGCTTTTGTTTGTTCATACGTCTTGATGCTGCTCATTGTTCTTTGGAATAAATGCCTGTCACTTAGAAAGACTCAAGGTGGCCATCAGGGTGGGCATGTTACCTGGGATGCAGAGATAAAGAGCACAAGTTCTGCCATGTGTAGTCCCTGGTTTAAATAATAGGATTTATTATTTCTCCAACCTAGTTCCTGGACCCTTTGTGGCCCTAGCTCACATTCCGGAATTTATAGGATCTGAGACCGTCTTATACTTGCTGTGAATGCTGTGGCTCGTGACCTTGTGAAACACAGTGGTTGCTTGTGCCACTTTGCACCTGTGTTTGATAGTGGTTCTCTGGGAACTGATCTTTAAGGCCTCCGTTGCTAGTATTAGGCTATGTAATTTTAGTGTCTCCTATGCCTCAATATTCTGTTAAAGTTACTGAGCATCTGCTGACAGTTCAGGTAGCTGAAGATGGGGTGTTTCATGCATGGTTTATGTGTCTGCAGCTTTGTCAGATGCTTCATGTCTGATGAATTTAGAGATGCAGAGGACAGAATGTAAATAAGAGGATTGTATAGTAGGAATTTAGGTCATTTTTATGACTTACAAGTTTTAATTTTAAAGGCATTTTCCAAGTTTAAACTAATGGAAACATTTAACCCTGGAATTTCCTATAAATTGGTGGTCATTTCACTACCAGTCCATTTTTAACCTTTGACTAGGGAAGGCAGAGGTTAAGCAAAAGACAGGAGGAAATGGGCATTGTGAGCAAGATGTCAGTAAGGAGATTTTGCTTCTGTACATGGAAGGGAAGATTTTGGCAGGAGAAAAGGACTTCCTTGTCAAGGTTATTTTGACCTTTTTGCAAAATGGTTAATTGGGGAGGGATGTGGATCCAGCTTTCATGTACTCAGAAATTTTTTTTTATTAATATTATGCTACATGGGAGCACATCCATTTTATAGCCAGAAGAGACGATAGAGTTTATAGTGAGAAGGGAGGAAAGACAGGGTTTGGAAAGAAGAGGGGAAGGAATCTGGTCAGCCTTTGCTTGCTAGTTTGAAGATGGAAATTTTAAATTATGGGACTGAAGCTATAGAAGCATGATGGGAGATGAGCTGTTGCTCAGAAATCTGGGGGCCATTGTGCTGCCAGGGGCACTGAAAGGAGACAGCTGGATCCTCAGGTTGTGGTATTGTCTCCAGTCCATTGGTTTGATGAGTGTGTGTATATGTCAGAAAAATTAACATTCCAGTATAATACCCAAAACATTGTGTTCTTTTTTCTCTTTGTAAATACATTAGAGGTTACCTACAAATAAATTGTATTTGAGAATGGGAACTATGACCTGCATTTGAAAGTTTTTTTTTTAGCCAAGGGGAAACCTAATGTAGATTTAAATGTCACTGTGATCCTGGGCTCTGACCAGCTTCACCTTCACCCCAGTCTGAGGCATAGTCTTAAGAAATACCTCAGTACTCAGCTCTGAAGTGGGAGGAGATAGCTGGCCTTTCCTGGGGCGTTAGGAAACTTCGACTTTGATAAGCTGGAGATACACTGTTATGCCAGTGACATCAGTGCTCATGGTAGGCACATATGTTGAGAAAATAAGAAGGAAATAAAATTCTCTTCCTGCCTACATGAAAGGGCCCCAAATCTGTTTTGTCAGGAACAAATTTTATAATAGTAAGTCTACTTGGTGACATCTGGACATCCACTTTATAAATAAATCACTTTTCTAATTCTGTAGACTAAGTTAACATAAATTATGTGGTATTAGTATTTCTCTATAGGTTTCTAAAGGGATATTATTAATAAATATATTTGACTTCATTAGAAAGTACGTTTTTTTTTAACATTGATTTAGCTGAAGATTGTAGTGTTTCATAGTGTTTTAGTTATCTGTTTATAATGGATTACATGAAGCTTGTTTGATCCTTGAAATAGCCTTAAAAGTTAGATACTGTTTTTCTTGTGATGCTGCTAAGGAAGGAAACAGCCTCTGGAGATGTTAATGATTTACCTAAATTCTATTGAAGTTGGTGAAATTGAAATTTGGACTCAGATTCTAATGACCTGACCTGTGCTTTGTAGAGAATGCTTGTAGGTTGGGGAAGACACCTCACAGCCCTCTGTTGTAAGTGAGTCAGTACTGGAGAAGGGCCTTTCTGTAGTTGTGGCAGTCCATGGAAAACACTTGGGAGTGCAATACTGATACCCTTCCTACACTCATTCAAGAAAATCATTCCTATTTTCTGACTGTAGTAGACTACCATATTTTTTTAAAAATATCACATTTTTAAAAAACTTTAATCCTAAATGTATGCAGACTACTCAGTGTAGTAGTTTGCTAGGGAGCTGCTATAACAAAGTACTCCAAATTGAGTGGTTTAAACAGCCGAAGATTTTTTACAGTTTTGGAGGATAGAATCTGAGATCAAGTGCAGCAGGGTTAGTTCTTCTGTGAGGAAGACTCTTTCATGCTTCTCTCTCAGCTCTGGTAACTCGCTGGAGATTTCCATTGCTCCTGACATATCACTCCAGTCTCTGTTTCATATGCATAAAACATTCTCACTGTGTGCATGAGTGTCTCTGTGTGCCAGTTTCCCTTTTGATAAGGACACCAGTCATATTGGATTAGGTGCCCATCCTACTTCAGTATGACTTTATCTTAGCTAATGATATCTTCAGTGATCCTATTTCCAAATAAGGTCATTTTCTGAAGTACTAGGGGTTAAGACTTCAACATGTGAATTTTGGGGGACACAAGTCAACATATGACACTTACCACATATTACTTTTATGGAGGGAATGAGAACTGGCATCACTAAGGTAGGCTACCTACTCTGTGTGGGATCTGGGCAAGGTAGTGCAGATTCCTTGCAAGTGTAGTAGCCCTTGTTGGAAAATGGTCAGAGTACATGCAGTCATGAAAAGGGGTAAATAGTGTCATAGCAGGAACATGAGTCTTGGAGTTGAAAAGTCTGTTGAATATTAAACCAAAGGTTAGATCCCAGCCCTGAAAACTCTTAACATGTTGAACAGAAGTTTATACTTGAATTTGGTCTTTTAAACTCTTGCTTGATGGGGCCATTGACTATGATCAACTTTTTATATTTAAAAATATATCTTTTTATATTTTATATATTTATATTTTATTTGTTTATGTGCAGGAATATACACAGATATATAGATGTATGGAGGATACATACATATATGTATTTATATGTGATTCTTCATGCTTATTGAATATATTCATATCTGTAATTGCAACACTTAACTGGTGACTGCAGGTTCAAGTCCACTTTAATTTGCTGCAGCAGGAGTGGCAATCTTGCAGTTGCAACATGTCAATGTTTGACTGCTTGTAATTTTGGTTATCTGAAAATTCATAAGTTAAAGTAAGAAATCCCTAAATTGTATAGAGTGCTATTATTGTAACAACAGTATGTTGGAATTTGTGTGGGGAGTAGAAAGGATTGGTTAGAATTTTTTGTTTTTTTTTGGGGGGGTGGGGTGGGGTGGGGGTTGTCTCAGGACTTCCTTTCTGGCCTATCAGGTATGGAAGTTATTGAAAAAGTAGCATTTTTCCTCTGACTACCATAGCATTGGGAGGCTATTATTTTTATTTTAATAACTTTTTATTTTATATATTCTATATATTTAATTTATATATTTAGCTTTAGATTTGTATTAAAATTAAAGAGATAATACAGAGAGTTCCTGTGTGCCAGTCTGCAAATTCCTTTATTAACATCTTATTTTACTATGGTACATTTGTCACAACCAAGGATCCAACATTGGTATGCTACCGTTAATTAAATTTCACATTTTATTTAGATTTTACTAGGTTTTCCCTAATGTATTTTTTTTTTTTTTGTTCCAGGATCCAGTATAGTATACCAGTTACATTTCTATGGCTCCTGGGATTTGACATTCTCATTGACTTTCATTGCTTTTTAATGACCTTGGGAGTTTTGTGGAGTTCTGGTCAGATATTTTGGTAGAATGTCCCTCAGTTTGGGACCATCTGAAGTTTTTCTTGTGATTTTGACTGGGACTATGGGATGTTGAGAGAAGATTGGGAAAGCCGGTCTCATTGCATGTACACTTTATCAACATGACATCATGAATTAGGTTAGTCGCGATCATCTAGCCAAAGTATGCTGTCAGGTTTCTCCTGTTTGTCAGGTAAAGTTACTCTTCCCCCTGTATGCTCTGCTCTTAAAGAAGCAAATTACCAGATGCAACCCTGTTCAAGGGAAAGAGGAGAGGAACTAGGCAAGATGGGCGTTTTTGATGCACAGAATCTTAACTGGTCATGTCTGCATGCAAGTCTGCTTTGTTGCTGTATTTTCTGTGCTTGCTTTGTTTACTGAGAGTTCCTATTCTAAAAGGTTTTATAGGGTGCTGGGGATTTTAGGGCTGCATTTTCTGACATCCTCAATCTGGATCTAATATGACATATACCTGATGTGGTCCCCACGTAACTCATAGCTAAAATGAGATACAGGGAAGCACCAAGAAACAAGAACCCTCAGAGACCACAGCTCTCTGAATAGTTAGGATTTCTGGCTAAAAAAAAAGAAAGGATTTAAATTTTTAACTTAAAAATATTTTAGTCTTTTCCTATTGTAGTCCTTCTGAAATTTTATATAATTTAACATATAATAAGTATGCTAGAAGGATGTTTTCTTATTTTTTATGTTGTAACAGTGTTGTTTTCCTTCACCTAAGGCCTAGACTACAATGGAGTTTGAGCTGCTTTTCTTGGATTTTGAATCTTTTCTCTGTCAACTATCATTTTTTGCTGCTCTTAGTTTGCCTCCCTCTAGCAGTTTGCTTTCTAATTTGCTATTTATATCCTTCTGTGAATTTAGAATCCAGACCACTAAACTTGCTAGGGATGTACACAGACTTAGTCTGGATAGGCTGAGATAGAATGTGAGAGCTGGTATTCCAAGCAAGTGTAAGCTGTAAGCATGTTAGTGAATGGCCACCAAGCACTTATGTTAGTGCCTGAGAGCTTTAGTTTGCATACTTGCTGGCAAGAAGAATGATAAGATTGACTGAGTTGTGTTAGTATAATTTCAACAAGGCCATTTGCAGGCATACTACATTATATAGTGTTCTCTAATCACATTGGGGATGACTAGGAACCCACAGTGCAAGTATATAAAAAGAAAATATGTAGATTTTTCAGTTGAGATTTAATGTTTACTGGAAATTTAAAATGCATAGTCGTAAGTACTGATTGCCTTTTAAAATAGTACACTAAATACACAAATTGGCCTCTTGGCAGTGCTTATGTATGCACATCATATTCATTGCTTTTGAAAATGACCAAAGTGGAGGCATAATTCTTCCCTTAAGCATGAAGGAAGGAAATAGCCAATGCTGGCGTATGTAACTGAAGATGTTTGAATATTTAATTTAATAATACTTTATTGGCAAGGTAGAAAAATCCTACACATAGTGTTAGAATGACAGATGGCTCTCATTCTAACATGAATTTGGCAGATTATATGTGGTCAAATCAGTACACATCCTATAGACTAAGCACCAGTGGGAGATTAAAGTGCTAGAGTCCCACGGACAAGGGATTAGAGAAAATCCAATGCAAACCTATTAAAACAGCCATAGCATTAAGGATAAAAGATTTGTTTTAATGATTCATTTAATTCATAAAGGAATTGTTTCCTGAGAGTCAGCTGCATGCAGAGACACTAAAGTAGAATCAGGCAGCACTGGTGGTAAAGCCACCAATGTGTAAATGGCACACAAACTTATCTAGGAAATTATTAATAATTGTTATCTGTGGGTGTTTTGGGGGGTGCAAAATGAGATAAGAGAGGAATTTTAAGGGGTGCCTTGTAAGAATGGTGGTTCATTCAGGACCAGTGAAATTAAAGTCTTGTATTCTGCAGTGAATTCTGCTTTTTCAGTAGATGCTTATTGTGCTCAAATTGTTAGAGAAGATCATTGAAAACCTTGGAAATCTAATATCCAGTGTTGCTCTTAATTCTTTGATTTTTTTGATTGTGATAAATACTTTGAAGAATGCAGATATCAAACTTGAGTCTGTCCCTCTCTTGGTTCTGTGCAGTTCATTTAACAATGGTGACAGTGGAATTTTAAGGGGTGCTGTATGTGCTTGGCATCATTTCATTGCTTTTTTTAAGGGGTGTCGTATGTGCTTGGTGTCATTTCATTGCTTTATTCTTAAGTTAAAAATTACTCTTAAGAATTGCATCTGAGGTCTGGCATTGTAGCCCAGTGGTAAAGTGCTTGCCTACAATGTGTGAGGTACTGGGTTTCATCCTCATCACTACGTTAAAATAAATAAACAAAATAAAGGTATTGTGTCCATCTACACCTTAGAAAAACTGTATTTGAGCCAGGCACCGTGGTGCATGCCTATAATCCCAGCAGTTTAGGAGGCTGAGGCAGGAGGATCATGAATTCAAAGCCAGCCTCAGCAGAAGTGAGTTAAGCCACTAAGTGAGACCCTGTCTCTAAATAAAATACAAAATAGGACTGGGAATGTGGCTCGGTAGTCGAATGCCCTTGAGTTCAAACCCTGGTACTCCCCATCCCCCACAAAAAAATAATTTCATCTGAGCTTATCTATCTTGACAGCAGTAATTTTGTATTTGCTCTGAATTTGTTTATGGAGTGCATGTGTTTGTGTGTCTTTAGTTTTTAATGTTTCATAGTCTCTGCAACAGATTATTTTGCTCTTTTATCCTCTTATTTTCTTTACACAGATTAAGTTTTTTACTTTTTGTACTTACAAGCAACACCATCAAATTTAAGCTTTTTATATTATGAATTTTTCTGGTTGTAAAAGTAAAATGCTTTTAAATAATACTCAACAAATGTGTTTAAATGAGATTTGAAAAATAAAGTATTCGAAAAAAATTAACAATAATTTAGTTATGTAACCATTGTTGATGTTTTTATATATTTCACATTTTCTCATTATTGGAAGACTATTGAACTATGCTCTTTTTAAAGTTAACATTATACAGTGAGCATTTCTCTTTAAATAGAACCAGTTCTTTGAATGTGTGTGTGTGTGTGTACACACTCAAATATGTTTTTTAATTGGCTAAAATGTTTTGTTATGTGAATGTGCTAAAGTTTGTTAACCTATTTCTGTATTATTGATTCTGGATTTATTTCTAATTTTCACTATTAATGGAATTCAGAGAATTATCTATGTGGAAATATTGTTTTTTTCCCTCCATAATTCAGATAATTTCTTTTAGATAATAGATAATACTTGTAGAAATTGACTTACTAAGTCAAACAATAGAAGCACTTTTCTTCCTTTCTTTATGTCCATTGCAAATAAATGTCATGGTTTAACAAGTCCTAAATCATTGTTTTTTCTTTTTTCCTCAGCTCACTACTCTGGGAAATCTTACACCTTCAAGCACTGTGTTTTTCTGCTGTGATATGCAGGAAAGATTTAGACCAGCCATCAAGTATTTTGGAGATATTATTAGCGTGGGACAAAGACTGGTACACTTATTTATTCATTTGCCGAAATGTGATATGCATTCATACATATGCTCATGTGTATATTGCTAATTCTTTTTGTGCTTGGTTATTTTTTCAGTTGCAAGGTGCACGGATTTTAGGAATTCCAGTTATTGTAACAGAACAGTACCCTAAAGGCCTTGGAAGCACTGTTCAAGAAATTGATTTAACAGGTGTAAAACTGGTACTTCCAAAGACAAAGTTTTCAATGGTATTACCAGAAGTTGAAGCAGCATTAGCAGAGATTCCTGGAGTTAGAAGTGTTGTACTATTTGGAGTAGAAGTGAGTACCTATTATATTTGGGCACAATATCATTATGGAAAACTTGGTATTTTCAGAATGCAGGTTTATTATAGGATACCTTGTAGGTAGTAACAGTGATGCAGAGTAACCACCACTTATTAAACATTTCACTATTTGCATGGCACTGATCTGAATACTTCATAGCAGCAAACTCATGAGCTAAGTATTCTTAGTGTTCCAGTATTATGAGTAAGGAAACAAAATTACAGAGACTCAGTATAACTTGCCCAAGGTCAGACAGCTAGTAAGGGATGAGGCTGGATTTGAATCTCACCTGACTGATTTGTAGACCATGCTTTTAACCCCTACTTTTTAACTACTACATTCTTACCAAAGGATTATTTTTATTTATGTTATAAGATTTCACTTTGGTCATATTTTTATGCTAGCAAAATCTTAAAGGTCATGTAATTTGTTTTTCAAATTTGAATCATGTACATACTCTTTTAGATGAAAAAAATACTCATAGGTTTCTAATGCTGATTTCAGTTGATTTATTACTTTTTTATATACTGAAATTTTAAAAATTATAAAGAAAACTATTAAAACAATGAAATCAAAATAACAATTGAATATTGTTATGATATTTGATAGTAAGTTTTTTGCTAGTAAGTTTTATGGGTTTTAATAATAGAAGTATTATTTCTACTATTAGATGTTCATTTAGCATTTCTGATGTTTCTGGTTCAATGATGACAGTATAGGAGAAGCCCATTTGTCATACCAAATGCTGTTGCTTGATTTTGTACATTTATTTTTTCTTCATCACAATTAGACATGCTTAATCAAAATTGGCTTTGAGTAGTCCTCTGTGGCTAATTTTAGTGAGGCGTCAGTTGATAATTCTCCAAAGCTGTCTTGTCATATGAAGATGAAATTGACGTGGTATTACCGAAATCTGCTTTCATTTGTTTTATAATTTGGTTATTGTTGGAGTATGTTTTTACTCTATATTCTCTGATAATCAATTGTTACAAGTTACTATTTACATAGTATCTATATAATAGGTTTGTCTACATAATACGATTGCTGGTGCTATACACTGAGTATCCATTCCTGATAGTATCCATTCCTGATTTTACAAATGATTAAACCCAAGCCAGAGATGCTGAGGTATACTCAAGATCATCTAGCTAATTAAAAGTAAAACTAGATGTGGAACAGGTCATTACATTTATAGTGCTCTTTCTGCTTTATCATATTGTTGTATGTTTACCAAATACTTTTTGTTTACCATGTTTTTAAATTTTTTTTATCATAATTTGTTTTGACTTGAACTACCTCTATGACGAGGTATCTTGTAATAATTCAGTTTTCCCACTACTTTTTGACTTTGTAATACATCAGACTCATTTTGTTGTTGTTGTTGTTGTTGGGCACTTGGTATACATGCAGAAATAAATCCATATGCAAGTGGCACCAAAATTGAGTGCTAGTCAGCTATCTGAAGGTCACTCAAAGGATGCAGATGAAAATCTTCAAAAATTTTACACAAAACTCTTTAAGAATATGTAAGGGTTCCTAATATGAGAAACTGATAAAATCTAGTTCTTAACTTTTGCAGATGAATAAACCAAAGGCAGAGATGTTGATTTATGCTCAAGCTTACCTAGATAATTAGATGCAAAACTAAATATAGAACAAGGCCATCTTATGTGGTCTCTATTTTATCATGGTATCATACATGTGTAAAATAGTTTCTGGCTGACCATGTTATTACATAGGATTTGTTTTGCTTTCCTGCAAGACTCATGTATGTATCCAGCAAACTGCTCTGGAGCTCATTGGCCGAGGAATTGAGGTTCATATTGTTGCTGATGCCACTTCATCAAGAAGCATGATGGACAGGATGTTTGCTCTTGAGGTAATTGTCCTGCTTGAAAATAAGGCACTTATCAAGTTTTCCACATAAAGTAGGAGTATTAAACATTAAGGATTAATGAAAAATTTACCTCTTAAATTTAAGCTTAGTCTGAGAATATCAGACTCATTCATTTCCTTTTTTTCTCTTTCCACATTTTTTATTGGTGCATTATAGTTGTGCATAAGGGTGGGCTTTTTGTGACATATTAGTATGTACACACTATATAACAATATAATTTGGCCAATATCCATCCCCAGAACTTTCCCCCTCCCTCTCCATCTGCCATCCCAGGTCCCTTTCCTCTTCTGATCTCTCTTTGACTTTTATGAGGTCCCTTCCCTCACCCTCACCTTTCCTTTTTCCTCTCTGGTTTCCACATATGAGAGAAAACATATGACCCTTGACCTTCTGAGTTTGGCTTATTAACATAATGTTTTTAAGTTTCATTCATTTTCCTGCAAATGATATAATTTCATTTTTTTAATGACTGGATGAAGCTCCATTATGTATATATGCACCACTTTTTTTTTTTAATCTATTCGTCTGATGGAGACATCAATGCTGGTTCCATAGTTTGGCTGTTGCAAATTGTGCTGCTGTAAATATATGTATGCATGAATCACTGTAGTATGATGACTTTAATTCTTTGGGAATAAATACTAAGGAGTGCAGTAGCTGGGTCATATGGTGTTTATATGCCTAATCTTTTTAGGAACCTCTATAGTGATTTCCATAGTGGTTTTATTAATTTACAGTCCCACCAACAGTGCAAAAGTGTTCCCTTTTTTCCACATCTTCTCTAGCATTTATTATTATTATTTGTATTCTTGATGACTGCCATTCTGACTGTTGTGAGATGAAATCTCTGTATAGTTTTGATTTGCATTTCCCTAATTGCTAATGATGTTGAACACTGTCATATATTTATTGGCCATTTGTATTTCTTTCTTTGAGAAATTCATTTGGCATTTGTTAATTGGGTTATTTTTTTGGTGTTAATTTTTGGGGGTTCTTTATATATCCTAGATGTTAATCTCTGTCAGGAGAGCAGCTAGCAAAGTTTTTCTCCCATTCTGTAGGTTCTCTCTTTACATTCTTAATTGTTTCCTTTGCTGTGCAGAGCTTTTTAATTTGATTCCATCTCATTTATTAACTCTTGGCATTTTTTCCTGAGCTTTAGAGGTCCTATTGAGAAAGTCATTGCCTGTGCCTATCTGCTGGAATGTTGACTGTATATTTTCTTTTAGGAGTTGCATAGTTTCTGGTCAAATTCCTAGGTCTTTGGTCCATGTGAGTTATTCTTGGACATAAGAATATCAATTTTCCTGGCACTATTTGTTAAAGAGGCCTTTCTCCACTGCATGATTTTGGCGCCTTTGTCAAAGATCAGATGACTGTAGATATGTGGAGTTTTCAGACGCGTTAATTTCTAGAGACTATTATGCACTGACAGGTGTTTAAAGTCTTACCACATATCCTATTTTATATTTTGTTTCCTCCTTGGAGTTAGATCTGTAGTGTTGCAAAAAGTTCTTTTCCCCGTTTGATTGTTAACTTTGCTCTAGTGTTATACATGGGCTAAGAGATTTTCAAGAAGCATAACCTGAACTGTCTAGAGATTTAGAAACGGCTCACTTGGGTTTAACTCAGCCAAGATCTAACTGAATACTAGGGCAGAACAGGCCCAAGTCAATTTAGCCTTATATTAGATTTCCTCAGACTTAAATTTCTGGGGCTAAGAGGTGTTTCACTGACTGAACACCACTCACATACAGAGTTTTATGGCTTTCTAGCATGAGAGCATTATGATGTCCCATTGAGTCAAGGGATCAGTGATTCTCAACATTCCTAATATTGGTCTTAACCTAGCATTTTCTACTTGAAGATGGTTGAAAATACCACAATGGGAAACTTTCATTTCATAGTGTGTATGTGTATGGTGTCTCTTTTATATTTAATTCTGATTCTCTAGTGATTTTAGAGAAATATACAGGTAGATTTAAGTTCTGACTAGGAAATATGGGAGGTTTTTTGTTTTTTGTTGTTTTGGGTTTTTTTGAGGTCTTCCAGTGTTTGGTGCATGTCCCATGAACAACTTCCCCTATAGGATTGCTGAATCATCTCTGTAGTCTAATGTGTTCTTCACGGTGGTAAACTGGAATACATGAAAAGGGAAGGGCTAGGCAGAAGGCGGGAAAGAGAAGATTAAAGGGAGTAGGGAGGGCTAATGTGGAAATAGACCCTGGCTGGCAGCCGCAGTTGACTTAAGGCCCTGGTTGGCCATCCCTTCCCTCTTATTCCTAACGCGGTGAGTCCTGTATTAGGATTACAGGTATAAATAGTTTAATTTATTTTTAAAACTGTTTTCAAGTCCACTGATATTGTGGATTTGCTGGTAGTTATTAAGTGTTGTGTCTTCCAATCTCAGCAAATACCTGTAAGCCATCTTAGTCTTGAGTCAATCAGCTTCCACTGAAGTTTCCATAGAGACCTGGGTTTATACACTTGGTCTGTCAGGTCCTGACCACCTCATCAAGTAGCTCTTTTCATGTGTACATGAACTTTACTTTCATGCTGGAAGTATTTAAAAGGACTCAACAATAACAAAACCAGAGACACAAATAAAATGAAACTTTCCTTATCTGTAAAGAAATTTCAAGGATTTTCATGTCTGAAATTACATATCCATTCATATATGTTTCTTAGCCATGTCTTTATCATGGTTAGATAAAGAGTTAGATTAAAAACATTGTCAGTTAATTACCATCCAGACCTCAATCTTTGACAGGCTGCCTGTCTTCTCAGTGATTAGGAGTATAAACAGTGGGGCAGTAATGTAGGTTTGAATGCAAGGATGGCGTTTCATAAATTTGTGTCCTTGAACAAATTTTGTGAACTCTGTGCTTTAAATGTCTCATTGATGGGGAGGAAGTAATAATAGCAACTAATTGGTAGCAATAATGTGAAAATTGAATGAGATCATGTGTCCTGGTTTTTTTTTTTTTTTTTTTTTAAATCTATTGTTGTTATTTGTTGCTGGCTTCATGAGGTTAGTTTTACCAGAAATATCTAAGCATATGAAACCCAAGACCCCAAAGGGACTCATTCTGAGAAGTTCTAGAAGGGAAGGAAAATACTTGTTGTCTGTGGTAGATTTTAAGAACCTTCCTGGGGTTCAAGTGTTGAGATGGTTAAAGGGAGAAAAATCATAGAGCAGGTCACTGGTGATGGGGACACTTACCCAAATTGCAGAATTTTCCTCTTGGTCTGGGGATACTTACCCAATTGCAGAATGTTCCTCTTGGTCTTATTTTGGTGTGGATGTGATACAGTTCATCCCTAATTTTTTTTGAGAAATTTTGTCCTTGCCTCCCACCATTCCACTTCCCCATTTTTTTTCTCTAACTCACTCTGAAAGTTAAAATAGCAATGTGGCTATCTCCTCTTTTTCTCTATTCCTTTAGAATATAACTACTTATGATAATTCCTGACATTATCCATATTGCTTATTAAGATTATTATACTAGTAAGATTTATAGTTAGCAAGTCTCAGAGTTCTTTATTCAATAATCGATGTTTTCAGGTCTGGGGCATTGGAATCAGATCACTCTGTGTGGTTTGGGCTGGTGGTGAAAAGAGCGCAGGGACATGAAAGGAATTCTTTCACAAAGTGGGTGGGGATTGTGGACCTCAAGGATCCTCTTTCACACTGGAAGGCAAGAGAAAGAGTGTACCCAGAACCCCCCCTATTTATTAGGGAAAAGACATTCAATAGAATACTCTACCCAAATAAGGCAGGAGATAATGTTTCAAGGGGGTGGGGGGTTTGCCCAATCCAGAGCTGACACACTTCTTTGCCGAGCAAAGGTGAAGGCCACTTGCTTTGCACAGCGCATGGCGTGTGATGCCAGTCCAATAGCCCCTTTACTCAAAGCTAAGAGGGGGTGCTTGGCTCCTAGGCATGGTGGCCTCCCATAGTGGACCTCTTGCCTAGCATACATGAGGCCCTGGGTTCAGTTCCCAGCACTATAAACAATCCATCCATCCATCCATCCATCCACCAATCAAATGCCTCCTGAGTACCTGCCATCTGTCAGGCATTGTTTCTTTCAACTAATAATTAATTATACAATAAATCTACAATAAAATAGGATTAGATCCTCACTTGAATGTGGATGTGCTTATACTTCTGGGTAGTTTTTAGTAATGTTAAGGAATTTGGTGGGCTTATCCTTCCCCTACACCTTCTTTCATGACTTTGTGTACTTTCATTTTGGGGTTTGTGTGTCAAAAACCTTTCTTTTTCTTTGGCCTAGCTGGACTGTTTTACAAATGTAAGGGGAAACCCAATGCACATGTGCCGAGGGGAGAGTAGGGCTGGAACCCTGTTATCAGGTGGTGCCCAGGAATCTGCCACGTACATCCAGAACTGCCACTGCCTTTCTCTGCTCAGTTGCCCTCAGGCTCCTCAAGGCAGGTATTGTGCTCAGGTCTACCTGCTGGAGCTAAAATCTATGGTCTTTGCTCTCTGCCACAGCTTCTTTTAACACAGGTTCTTGGCTAGATTAAAAACCGGATCAATACTGGCTACATCTCAGTCTCCATGCCAGCTAGTCTTGTGTAGGTGTCAGTTTACCCAAACATATTTCTGTGATGAGCATCCCAGCCTGCTCCTGCCCCTATATACCCTGACTCTGAGCATCTCTGAGAATCATCCTGGCAGAATGGAGTGGGCTCTGGCCAGTGGAGCGGAGCACTAGAAAGCTGCACATCATCCATAGGCTCTTTCCTGGTCGCCAGCTATCTTCCTTGGTCCTAGAAACTGTTTCCTTCCCTTCCTGCCTCATTAAGGAACTAGAATCATGAGTGGGAGCTGACCTTTGTTGACAGTGTGGCTCTGTGTAAAATGCTTTCTCAGACACTGAATGTGTGATTCAGGCAGTCTGAGTCATTGGAAGTCCTTTGGTTTGGCAGTGATCGATAGGCAAGGCAGGGCAGACACTGGCTGGGTGAGAGCTGGGCTAGAAGAGCGGACATTTAGTGGTGTTTCTCAACATCAGACTTGTCTTATATTCTCTGCCTTTCTGTCTGAAGGAAGCAGAAGATGTTTTGACATTGAGTTTTGATAATAATAATCAGTTGATTAAACATCAAGAAGTAGGAAATTAGAGTTTCCAGATCTTTAAAAAAACTTACACCTGGATTTGTCTGACCTCAAGAAGGGCACCCATGGGCCTGATTCTTCCCCACTTTCTGCATAACTCGTTGATGTATATTTTTTTTTTTTCAGTCTGGGCAGCCACTCTGCACCCTGTTCTATACTGGCTGTTGAGAGCAGAGCTTGCTTTCTAAGTAGGTTATGGTTTATAGTCCTTTCTGTGTCCTTGGGGATAAAAAAAGAGGAGTCTCTCAGTGGAAATGTTGGGTCTGTGGTTGCACAATTGTCTGAAGGAAGATTTGTATACTCCACAGGGATGTCCTGGCTCTGCCAGTGCTTCCTCCTTTACAGAGAGAGCCCCAGTTGGGTCTTTCCTCTGATTTGCCTAATGACTTCCTCTTCTGTGGTTCTTAAAGTGGATGCTTCCTGGGATGGCAGTTTGCCTGCTTTTTTTCCAGGGTTTTTGATGATAAATCCATGCAGAGAATGAATCTCTGCAATGGAATCCTCCCTCTGTTCCTCTTTCTACCTTCTTCTCCCCTTATTTTCTGTTCTTTTGCCCTCTCTCCCTTTGCTCCCCTCTCCTCTCTGCTCCCTCTCCCTCTTCCCCTCCTCGAGATATCTTTCCTAGTTATTACGATTGCAAGGGAACAGTTTGTCAAGGGCATTCTTTGACCTGTCAGGGAAACTTTATACAACCTTAAATTTTATACTCTTGTTTAGTGATTCTGAAATGTTTATGATGGCAGCAGAGGTGATGGCTCTTTTATCACCCCAGGGGATACATTCTTAAACCTCTCACGGGGCTCTTTTCTTCTTCTGCCAGTTATCTCAAGACAGGGCAGCTCTGACTTATGAGAAAAACTGTCAGATGTTTGGGGGCTGAAAAATTATGAACCCTCATTTTAATTCTTAATAGTAGTTTGCAATTACAGACTTTAGTTATATGAAATGGGATAGTTAGTTGGTAATGAAATATTTTAGACAGCAACAGTAATATCTGTAGCACAACCAGTGGAGCTTTCAAGTGTTACCCATCCTCTCTGCCATTTCTTTTTAAATAAATTGCTACCACATGCCAGGGATGCCAGACATAAGTACTAATACACATCATAATCTATTTTGTAATCTCATATTATTTGCACAGTGGGAATGTGGACAGAGGCACCTCTTTTTATCTCAATGCTAGAAATAAAAATTGAAGAGTTTAATGAATATAGGAGTAAAACAAAAATAGTTCTCATTTGATAGAGTGAACAAATGAATGAGAGATGAAGCAAAAATCTGCAAATAGTACTTAGGAAATAGCAGCAATGAAAGGTGTTCAGATAATCAATGATGAAGTTCCTCTTGCATTAACCTTTTATATGTTTTATAGCATTAGCCTCAATTACTCTCCTGTCCCTGCACCAAAAGGTTATAACAATGTCTACCTGTTTTCTTTTACTTAGTTTTAGTCCATGTTACTAATATTGAGAAGAATAACAATGAGTTTGTGGTATGGCTGGTTTTGAAAATTTTGCCCATCGCTGAATTTGCTGGTTTGGTCAAGGACCATGGTTGTAATAGAGGACACTAACTATTGTGTCCTGGCACACTTTTGCTGTTTTCAAAAGTGTTCATCGTCACACTGTCTTCTCAGTTGTGCTTATTGGTCTATCTTTTCTCTTAAAGCGCCTTGCTCGAACTGGGATCATAGTGACCACGAGTGAGGCTGTTCTGCTGCAGCTGGTCGCAGATAAAGACCATCCAAAATTCAAGGAAATCCAGAATCTCATTAAGGCGAGTGCTCCGGAGTCCGGTCTGCTGTCTAAAGTATAGGACATTTGAAGGACTGGTACCCTCCTCACCACCAGGTGAAGGATTGTAAGCCCAGACAAGCTCTTGTTTCTACTAAAATTAAAATGTTAAGTCAAAAATGGCTCCTTCTTTGCGGCTCTTAGTAACATGTAAGCGGCTAGACTACTTGGTACTGGCATTTAGTTACCAATGTCAAAGGCTTCAGGTGCTGCCCACCTTCTTTTTCCTTAATGTGCTTTTATTTATTAAAAAAAATACAATGGAGGTGCCTGTTTTGTCTATATTGTATACACTATTATACCTTTCAAAAGTGCACACTCTGGTGAAGTTTTCTTAAATTGTGCACTTTAGAGAAAAAAAAATATGTATTGATGATGATTTGACTTTTATATTATTGTAAGATGTATGTTATAATGTTAAGGTGGATTCAGGGCTTTCACATTACAGGTCAATTGAAATAGGATTATTACACATGAATTTAAAAAGAGGACTCTGGTTCCCATTGTCCACTTCTCATAATGTTATTGAATTACTTATTGAGTGAGTTGCACTGATCTAACCAGACCAAATTATGTTGAATAATTATTTGTCTTTATTGATTGTACTGATTTTCTCATTCTGATCCCCACCACTAATTCTCTATTCTTTTTTTTTTTTTTTTGATGAAATCTTTTATCAAGAAAGATTCATTGTGTCATTGCTTATTTTATTTCAATTTTGTAAACAGATGGAATGGTTTGCAATGCCATATCATTAATGGAGTATGTTTTTAACATCTCTTTAGTAGGACTTTATCTGAATTGTCTTTTCAATCATCTTGAGTATACCTTTTAGTAGGGACAAACAAGATTTAGCAGAAAGTTAAAGGGTGGGTGAAAATGTAGCTTTAAAATATACATTTTCCATTTCATATTTTCTCTGCCTACCCTCCAAATGTGGTTAATGCAAAGGCATCAGTAGTGATTGGGAAGTACTAATTTTGCAGTCATTGTTACCCTTCAATAAATTTATTTTTATCAAATACTTATTTTAGTGTTTTAAAATTGTTTTTTTTTAACACTGTGTGAAATGTGGAACAGTGTTTTTATATTAAAGTAATTAAGGAAAATGTATTATGTGAATGAAATTATTTTGTCCCCCATAAGATGGCTCTGTGAGTACTAGTCCGTGGATTCTAATATTTATTCAAAGGTAATAAAACTTTGACATTTATAATCTTTCAGCTCATGGGCCTTTTAAAGGAAACTTCTTTGCAGGTGAGAGCAGATGGATTTTACTGAAGGACCTTTTCATTAAGAGCAGTAGAAAAAAATTTTTTCCCTTTTGTTCATGTTAACAAACAGCAGCTGAGCATTCTTTTTGTCAGTATGTTTAAGTATGTCTTCCAGATATTTGTGAGTCAGAAAAGAAGAATTAAAGATTTCTGCATGTTTTAAAATAGCTTTTAATACTTTTTTCCTTTTTTAAAATTTTTTATTGGTTCTTTTTAGTTATACATAACATTAGGATTCATCCTGACATAATTATAACAACATGGACTATAATTTGCTCTCATTCTGTTCCCAGTACTTTCTCTTTCCTCTCCCTCCTTCCTCACTGTTTCCTTCCCTGTACTTCTCCTGATCTTTCTGCTATTTACTTAGTTGTTTTCTTTTCTTTTTAAATTAGTGACCTGTGGACATACACAATGGTGAGATTCACCGTGGAGTATTCATTTATGCACATAGGAAAGTTAGGTTTTTAATAAATGTAGTGCTTCTCAAACTTTAATTTCAATGCAGATTATCTGGGGGTCTTGTTAAAAGGCTGGCTCTGGCAATTTTTGCATCCCCCTCAAAACACACAAACAAACAAGCAAAGAAACAAACCCAAAAGCAAACAAACAAAAAACATGTCCAGCAATCTCCCACCAGGGTTAATTAGAAGGGACCACACTTGGAGTAGAAGGATTTAACTCATAAACAACTGTTTCCCCCATTGCTCCCAGGCCTATCACATCTCAACTGATAATGCTTTGGTGGTGAAGCCTTCTCACAGCTGAAACCAATTCTGTAACCTGGCATAACTAGTTTCTTATGGCTGTTGTAACAAATTGCCACAAAATTTTTGTCTTAAAACAATAAACTGTTATCTTACAGTCTGTAGGTTAGAAGTTTAAAGTAGGTCTCTTTGGACAGAAATCAAGCATGGTGTTGCAAGGCTGTGTTATTTTCTGGAGCCTATGGGGAGGATCTATTCCTCTGCTGCTGGAATCTGCTCACATATTTTGGTTTTTGCAGCCCTGTTCCTCCATCTTCCAAGACAACAAAGGAGGATCTGGTCCTTCTTAGTCTCATCTGTCATGCTCTTCTCCCCGTCTTCCTTCCTACCTAGCTTAAGAGCTCATGTGATTTAAGGTCCACTGATCAGCAGCCTTATTGTATCTGTACCTTCAATTCAGTTTTGTCCTGTGAAACATAGGCTCCAGGGATTGGGATGTGGACATCTTTGGAGGCTGTTTTGTAAGACACATTTGCCATGGAGTGATTTAGTATTTTATTTCGTTTTATCATTTGTCCTGTTTCCATCATTTCCATTTGAAGCAAGACCCTTGCACTATCTATATTTATCTAGAAACACTTTGTACCTCCTGAGTTTTAAAGATGTACTATGTGCTGGGCATAAAAAGATGCCCCTAAATACTTATCGTGTGACACAAAATCAGACATATCATAACCTTTCAGTAAATGTGAATTGAATTATGTCAAAAGTCCAAGAATGTTAATACAGTAAAGTTCAGAATAATTTAATTGTGAATTCTGCCTTCTCTCATCTTTTTTTGTAGATAATGCCAAGAAGGTGACAAAGCTTTATTTTAAAGGAGAACTGAATTGATTTTAATATATTAGCCTTGAAATTGGAAGCATCTATGTAACTTTGTAGGATAATGAAATTCTTTTAATTGATAAATAAAGAACTGGAGAACATAAGTAAATCAGTAGTCTTGTGTGTTGAATTGCTAGGAGGCTGGGGGCAGGATCAAGAGGCTTCACTTATTGAAATGCTCAAACATCCTTGTAAATTTAATCTAAAATCAAAAGTGATAACTTATTCCAAACAGGACCAAACACCCTGTTATAGCTATTAAATTATTCAATTTCTCTATTTAGAATATTTTCCCTTTTAAAAAAGTTATTATTTGGTAAATATGACTTTAGAGCTGTATAGAATTTGTAAAGAACATGGTTTCAAAGGCCCATTTCAACTTGGAAGTTCTAGAATGGCTTTATTTTATAAATGCAGCTAGTGGGACCCAGAGATAAATGACTCACCCAAAGATGCACAGAGAACTGAAGTTACTTATCTCCTTATCCTGGAGTTTCACATAATCATATTAGAAATTATCAGAAGAGGGAAGAGCAGTAAAGAAGAAGATACATTTTACAGTTTAACAGTATACTGTTTGATTAACAAAGCCACTGCAGTGTACTATGAGACTACACTGGTATGATCTTCAATCTAGTCTTTCTTCCTGGATGGTTTTCTCTATAGCAGTTTCCTACCTAATTTGGGGAAATGGCTGACAGAATTAAAAAGAGTCATCATTTTTATTATTAAATAACTGCAAATCAACTTTCCCTCTTCATTAACTTTATTAGTGTTCTTTAATTCTCCATGGAGCATTACTGTTACTAATCCTTGATTTAAAAAAAAAATCATGAGGGTGTATTTATAATAAGATATAGTAATTACTTAGATATGATTGAAATAAAATTTTAAAACACTTGAAATTGACTCTTAGAATTCTTATGTCTGTTGTTTTTCTTTATTTTTTAAAGCTGCTTCTTAGTTTTTTACTTGTGGCTGAATAGCAGACCCTCCTATCAGAAACTTTTATTTTTACAAGACAAGATACTTGAAATTTGCTGAGAATATATCTTCAATGCCCCCTATCCCACCCCCACCAAAGGTAACTGAGATAATGGGAATATTAATTAGTTTCTGACTACAATCATTTCACACTGCATATACATATCAAGAGACCACTCAATATATTCAGTTTTTGTTAATTATATCCTAGTAAAGCTGAAAAAAATCAATATTGTATTTATAGGCTTTAAACTTTTTCAATTTGCAGTATATAAACAATCTACTAATTCCCATTGAAGAAATTATAATCCTGAATTTCTTACTGTGTGAAGCAATTCTGAAATGGCCCCCTGAGATTCCTACTTGGCTGGTGTACATGTGCCTTCTTTCAGATACACAATCCTGGGTACAGCTGTGGAGTGTTACTGTAAGTAGAATTTCAAAGCAGTTTCAGATAGGAAGACTACCCTGGTGGTTCTCATTTAATCAAGTGAGCTCTTAAAAGGGACTGGCCCTTCCTGGTATGAGACAGCCAATGTGGGAAATCCTTTGTTGCTGACTTTGAAGATGGAGGGAGGCCACATAGCAAAAGAGGTGGGTGCCTGCCTCTGATCTGAAAGCTGCCCCCTGCTCACAACCGCAAGGAAATAAGGCTCCATGTCCTCCTGCAGTCACAAGAACATTATTTAGCAATTAACCTGAAGGAGCTTGGAGTCAGATTCTTGTCAGCCTACAGAAAGGATAACTTGATTCCCATCTTGTAAGACCTGAGCAAAGAATCCAGGCATGCTGTCTCACCTACAGAACTGTGAGTTTATAAGTTTTAAGCTGATAAGTCTGTGGTAACTTGCTAAACAATAACAAAACTAATACTCTCAAGTTCTCTGTTGGCTTTCTTTGGTGGTTGTTAACTTAGCAGTCATGTCTGCTTAGAGTGTTTTATTAAACAAGTAACTTCGGGTGTCTATTGGGCTTCAAGGTTTATAATAAAATGAACTTTTTAATTTCCCCCCATAAAATAAAAGCATTGTTTTGGAAGTCGGATAGTCCTTGCTGGAGAGCTGGGCATGTCCATTTATGTTTTTAAATTTTAATAGCATAATAGGAACATGTTTTCTAAACCACCAACCAAGCAGGGTAGAACTGTATTCAAAGAAGTCATTTTCTATTCCTTCCACTCTCTGCTCTTACAGTTCTTTCTTAAAAGAAAAATACTGTTAGGTTTCTTTTATTTATTTTTTTACTCTTTGTTCTGTTGCTTCCACAACTGTGAATAATAAGCATATGTAAGTCTTCATTTAAAGTTTTAATTATGACTATACTCTGTGGAAGATGATTTTAGCTTAGTGGCATTACAAACTGTTTCTATATTGCTTGGTCCTCTACCATAGTTAGTCATATTTTCCATTCTGTTTATTTTTGTTTCCTGGCAGAATCTGTCCTTGTTCTGTATATCTTTGTCAAGGATCATTCCTTTGCCTAACAGATGCTCACTGAGGTCTGTCTAACGCTTCGGGTCCCAAACTGTACTCCTCATTGCTGTCTTCCAGGCTTGGGCCCCATTCTCCTTTACTCTTGGAGCCCTGGGTTCAGAGGGTCAGAGAAATGTCAAAACAGGTGACACGTGGCTCCAGGACAAGAAAGAGCCGGCAACACCTCCTCCCTTAAAGAGGAGTAATTGGCATCTCAGATGTGTATAATTGTGCTTCCCTCTCTAACCTTGCAGTTTTACTTATGTGGAAAACACAGCTCAACATCATTTCAGAATTTTTTCAGCTTTTGGTGGAAGTGCTCATTAATTGGAGACTTATTTGCTGACTGAGCCGTCTGTCTTTTTCCAGACTGAAGCCTCCATGGGTTTCTGGTTACAGACCTAGTCAGTGCTTAACTGCTGTGCCCTCTGGGGCTCCCAGTTTCATACCTACAGAGCTGTCTGCCCCCCCCCCCCTTTTTTTTTTTTTACTTAACAACAAAACCTTTCAAGAACTAGCCTTTTCTTGGCCATGTTCAAACTTAAGAACTTGGAAGACTTGGAATTGTCTCTTAAACCAACCAGGAGCTCCAGGAGGCAGGAATGGGCATGGAGAAGGTATGGTGTGCAGCAAAGGGGTCTCTGAGGTCTCTGTCTCTGCCAGGTGATCTTTCCCAGGGACCCTAATGAGAATTGAGACACTGAATCTTCTCTGAGTCTCCCCTAATGTTTTTGGGTATTTCCTCTTGCTCTGTCCCCAAGTGTTGATTAAAAACCATCAAGGCCCCGTGTGGTGATGCACGCCTTTAATCCCAGTGACTCCCCAGAGGGAGGCAGGAGGATCTCAAGTTCAAAGCCAGTCTCAGCAAAAGCAAAGCACTAAGCAACTCAGTAAGACCCTGTCTCTAAATAAAATACAAAATAGTGCTGGGGATGTGGCTCAGTGGTCGAGTACCCCTGAGTTCAATCCCCAGTACTCAAAAACAAAACAAAAACTTATCAAGCTCAATAAGAGAAATAAAACCAGTAGTGTCCCCATATATCTGGCTTATATATGTATACATATGTATATAGTGTATATGTATATACATACATACACCTACATACATACAGTCGAGATTCACTCTAAGAAATTGGTTTATCTAAATGCAAGTTTTGGGGGCTGGCTAGATAAGCCTGAATTTGTAGGACAGGTCATCAGGAAGGGCAGACTAGAATTCTGGTAGGAGTTGAGACTTTCATAGTAGAAGATTCTTCTATGCAACCTTAGTTCTGCTTTTAAGACTTTCCAACTTGTGAAATAAGACGCACTCAGATTAACAAAGATAATTGCTGTTACTTAAAATCAACTGGTTATGAACTTTAGTCACATTGACAAGATACCTTTGTAATAATAGATTAGTGTTTGAAGGGCTGGAGATTTAGAGCCTAGCTGAACTGACAGATAAAGCTGACCTTCAAAAGAATTACTCAATAGCAATCTCTTCCTGAGAGATTGTTTTAGACTATGTGGGATGTTATAACAAAATACCATGAGCTCAGTGGCTTATAATCAACAGAACAACAGAAAGAAGTTTATTTCTCAAAGGTCTGGAGGCCAAGAAATTCCAGATCAAGATACCCGAAGATTTCAGTGTCTAGTGGGGGCTTTATTCCCCTCCCCACTTGATTTATTAAATTTATACTCATGCATTCTTATTTCATTCCCTGATGAGCAGACATTTACAATTATCTTAAGACTATATCTATCATGTTATTCATGGAATCACAGACATTAAGAAGTAAAGCCAAGCTGACTGGCTCATGAGTACAGTGACATTGTTATTTTGATGCTTTTGTTATGATCATTCTGTAACAATGAAGAAAAATAGGGAGGAATCAAGAAGCAGAATGCTACCAGGAGAATAAAATCAGTCTCTTACATCTTAATTAGCTACTGATGTGCTTCCAGAAGTCCAGAGAGGGGAAAAATATATGTCCTGTATTCTATCGTGTTAATAATATAGTATTGTTCATTGTATGGTTGGCTTTTTGTATTTTTTATTGCAGAAAATAGTCAACTTAGAGCACACCTGTCATATCTGAAGCTTCATTTCTTGATATAATTGTTAGTTGCACAGTATATTTTACTGCTCACCACTAAAAGTCACTTGGCTTCAGATGTGTTCATTGTTCTCGCAGCTGCTTCCTTGTTATATTGTTCCTCCCATTTTAGACAGTAAATGCAAGAAATGAGAGGTGATATGTCTCAGAACCCATAGTTAATACACAAGTGCTCATTATTAATGTATATTGAATACATGCTGCTTCAAATTGGGCTTTTGGAAAATGCACATTGCACTTTAAAATAGCCTGTTTGGCAGCCCCAATGAAAAATATGGTAGGCTTTATAAATTGAAAAGTTGGAAATATGAATACCTTTACAAAAAATGCAGACCTTGAAAAAATAACATGAGGTATTTGAAGAATGAAAGTATAAATTTTTAGTCACTAGTCAAATTTTTAGCATCTCTTTGTATTTTTTATATGACAATAAATGCTTTATCCTTTTAGAGAATTTGGCTAAAGTTAAAAACCTTGTATACTATGATATCAGTTTTGGTTCAGCATTTCATTTCCGTAGGTAGACAACATGGTTTAAATAAAACATGGTA